GAACGATATGATACATGCAACAACATGGATAAATCTAAGACATTATGTGAAGTTAAAGAAGCCAGTCACAAAAGACCATATGTGATTCCATTCATATGAAAATCCAGAATAGGGAAATCTACATAGAAAGTAGATTAGTGGTTGCTTAGGGCTAGGGAGAAAGGAGGGTAGGGAATGGGGAGATGGGAAAGTAATAGCTAAAGGGTACAGGGTTTCTGTTTGAGGTGATGGAATGTTGTAATATTGATTGAGGATGGTTGTATGTATCTCTAAATAGAATATAAACCACTGCACTGTACACTTTAAAACAGTTATATATACATGATGAATCACTAAATTCTATTCCTGAAACCAATACTACACTATGTTAACTAACTTGAATTTAAATAAAAACTTGGAAGAAAAAAAAAAGGTTAATTGTATGGTAGGCAAATTATGTCAATAAAATGTTTGCTTGTGTTCAAATCAATAGATTTTCTAACTTCTGACAATCATCTTCCAGTTTCATACTACCACTGCTCCTATTCCCTCACTGTACATTGTGTACAAGGAAAAGATTTTGTAAAAATTCAGTTAACCACTGGCTAGGTACATCCAATTTGTGAATAAATGGATTTCCGAATTCTCTCAAAATACAGACAATATGACTGAAATATTTTCTAAATGCATGTTAGTAGGCACTATCCCTGTACCTCAGTTTACTGAATCTCTCTTAAGTATACAAATAGTTGAATTCTACACCGTAAGGAATCTCAAGCAGCTCACTGCCCCTCTAAGGGACTCAGCTTCCCTAGGCCATCCTCCCTAAAAAGTAATTCTGGCCTCATGTCAGTGACTTGATATCCCAAATATTACTGTAATTTTTGATAGGTTATGTGATGAGTACCATAAAAGACAGGTGCTTCCATATTCCTATGTCTTGGGTAGAACCACTAAAATGAAATTTTTCCATACTATGTTGGATGGTTACTTGGTCATACCCAATAATGCCATGCCCACAGAGAGAAAAACTCACATTGTGCAGAGACACAGCAAAAAGAAGTAAACTCAGTCAGAACTTGATTCTAGAACAGATCTCCTATTAGAAATATGAATCTTTGGACAGAGAACTTCACTTCTCTAGATCTCCATTTCATTACTATATAAATTATGTGGATTAAGACTCCTTTCAAGTCCAAAATCCTGTAATTCCAGGCCATGAAATATTAAATCGCATAAAGATACTGCTCACTGGTAGTTGGCCACGCAGGTGGCACCTTCTCCAGGTGCCCACTTATTTTTCAGACCCTTAGTGTACCTGCCGTGTGGAACCAAGTGGTGGACCTCGCCCAGATCGCCCCACGGCAGGGGGATGTTCTGAGCTTTTTGCCAGGCCTAGATGGTGGTCACTTCCAGCGTGTCGGGAGAAATCATTGTCACATGATTCCAGTGAATTTTGTGCTTTTTGGGGAAAAAGAAATTATTTAATAACTAAACATGAATGTTTTTGAATGTAGCCCCTGGGCAATGAATGGAATTTTGAGTTTCTTATACAGTAAGTAAAATTAAATTTTTCCCAGTGAGGGAAAGACTCTTGACAGAAGTGTGGCAAAAAGCACTTTAATTTAATGCTGCTAATTTTGTTCTCTGGTTTTACGTTCGTTTGCTGGAGTGTGAGACGTGCTTGACACAGTGAGTTTTTTCTCTGATGTACTTAAGGTGATCTATTTGCCTGAATTACTCCTGTATCATTGCTGATAATATTGGCACTAAAATAAAACCTAGTTGGAAACAAAAAAATAAATAAATAAATAAATTGCATAAAGATAGTTAAAACTCTAGTTTTAGATGCAAAACCAAAAAAAACCAACCAAACAAACAAAACCACCCAAAAAACTAGTTACCTTCAAAAACACTAGGAAACATCTGTCTCGGAGTATTAGTACAAGTCTAAATTCAGTAAAATCAGAGAAGGAATCTTTCATAAGAATATATGTGAACTGGGGTGCTTGGGTGGCTCAGTCATTCATTTCGGCTTAGGTCATGAACTCAGAGTTCCAAGATCAAGCCCCACATCAGGCTCTGCACTCAGAACGGAGTCTGCTTGAGAATTCTCTGTCTCTCTTTCCCTCTGTCCCTCCCCACAGCTTGCTCGCTCTCTCTAAAATAAATAAATCTTGGGGCATCTTGGTGTCTCAGATGGTTAAGCATCTGCCTTTGGCTCAGGTCATGATCCCAGAGTCCTGGGACTGAGCCCCGCGCTGAGATCCCTGCTCAGTGCAGATCCTGCTTCTCCCTCTCCCTCTGCCATTCCCTCCGCTTGTGCTTTCTGGCTCTATCTCTCTGTCAAATAAATAAAATCTTTGGGGTGACTGGGTGGCTCAGTCTTTAAGCGTCTGCCTTCGGCTCAGGTCATGATCCCAGGGTCCTGGGATTGAACCCCACATTGGGCTCCCTGCTCCGCGGGGAGCCTGCTTCTCCCTCTCCCACTCCCCCTGCTTGTGTTCCCTCTCTCACTGTGTCTCTCTCTGTCAAATAAATAAATAAAATCTTAAAAAATAAATAAATAAATATTTAAATAAAATAAATCTTTAAAAAATAGAGACTATATGTGAACTAATGACCAGCTAATAACCTCCTCTACTTCCCTTCTAATATCCATGACTATCTCAACACTGGTATCATGTAGTTAATTCACAAACCAAATACAAGTCAAATGTAATTACAATGATTATGCCAACCACATCTCAGAAGAAAATATTAAACATTTAATACCCACATTTACATGCATTAATGATTATAACTCAACTTATGCTTTAAATGTAGAATATGCTATAAACAATTTAGGTTCTTCAAAATTAGATGGTTTCTATTTTGGCTATTTTGTTTTTAATATTTTATATGTGCTTTGGCTAATCTCAAATTATTTCTGAACCACCAACAGCTAGAAAGCAATGCTACTTTCTCATTGGTTTAAAAGTTAAGAGCATGTTAAAAATCAGATCATCTAATTCCTGTACTTATCTCAAGTTATATAAAGGTCAAAATTGTTATCTAAGAGTCAAAAAAAAATTATAAAAATTGCCAACTGTAGTCTAACATAGTCTAAACTATGTTCTTGTTTAGTACAGCATGAAATCAAGTGTGAATGGGTTAGTTTAAGCAATTGATGATTTATAACTAATGCCTTCTGACGGTCAGTTATATGGCACAGAATACTACTTTAACAGCAATAGTCTTTCCAAATATAAAGCCTACTCTTCATTTGGTTCAAGTCTTGTCTTTTTAAGAAGTAGAAATGTGAGTTTCAAATATATGCACTTTCCAGAACTGTCAGGTTATAGATGTGTTTTTGCAGATCATATCAAAAAATGCACATCTCAATAGTAGAAAAAAATTTAAAGGCATTTGGAGTGTTCACTTAGTTGGAACTAAATTTAGTATGTTTTATTCAACAGGCTCGTGCTTGAATAATAAAGTTTCTAGGTTTCTGATACTCTTCTCCTAATAAATATACCTATATATTATACATATACATATATGTATAGAGGACTGTATTAGTGTACAAAAGAACACATTAAAGACATTATATAAAAAATTTTACATTTTTAATTGGAAAACAACTTTTATGACAGCTAAATAGACAAGGTAAATTTAATTTTTAAAAAGAAAAATTATTGGTAATCAGAGAATTCTAGTGATAAATGTACTGAATCTTTTGAAATAAACCACCTTTACAGAAAATTATTCATGTCACACTCTATTAAAGTGCATAAAAAGGAAATTTATTTTAGAATTTATACCAAAGATGCATTATGAATACATGTGTTACTCTGGTACAATAAGGCAGGAAGTCCAGCCTCAATGATAACATAGCCTTGATCTTAAAATAGTCTGCCTCTTAGTATGTGCCCCATAAATGGTTTGTTCCCAAAGTTGAGAATTATAAGCAATTTTCCCCATTGATAGCTTTATGAGTAATTCTGGTAACAGAGGAAAAAAGTCTAATTCTTATTTTGCTAATTCTCTAAAGTCATGTCAGTCTCACAAAAAACATCTGATTACTGTTTTCAATGAAAATTAAGAGGGATATTTTCAGATTTTTTAAACAAGTTAAATCATAAATATTTATCATATACAAAAATAAACAAAAGGTAAATTTTAGGGTATCTCTAGGTTTTAATTTTAAAAACATTAAATCATTTGCAATGAAGTGATGAAAAGAGTAACTTGCACAGCCGACTAGTATCCTGCTTTCTTTTTTTTTAAGTAGGTTCCACACCCAGCATGGAGCCCAAGATGGGCTCGAACTCACAACCCTGAGATCAAGACCTGAGCTGAGTTGGGACATTTAACCAACTCAGCCACCTAGGTGCCCCCATAGTTGCTTTAAGACCAATGGATGAAGCAACCTGTGCACAGAGATGCTGAATGGACAGTCAAATCTATCAATTATGTCATGTAGCTTCTTACAAAAAGTCAAATTGCTATAGCTTTTTTAATGCTCACTGTTGTTCACTTTTAAAACTAACTTTTAAAACTTGCTCAATTTTAAAGCAAATATCAGCATGGAGTCCCTCACATATGCTCATTTTTCAGTGGCCTCACATGATTCTCCAATTTAGAGTAGTCACATATACACTGATGTTTTTTATCACAATAAAAAAGAAAAAGGAAGAAAGAAAAACAAATGTGGTTTCAAGACAAACAAATGTGGTTTATAAGATAGAATCCATGAAGAGGCTAGTAATGAATCCTCTGACTACAGAGAATCAGCAACAAACTGCCAATAATAATTACAGAAATAGTTTATCAAAGTGTCATAACAGAAGGGTATGATGAATTTTTTCTAAAACACTCATTTTTGGGGAGCCTGGGTAGCTCAGTTAAGCGTCTACCTTCAAAAAAAAAAAGCGTCTACCCTCAGGTGGGTCATGATCCCAGGGTCCTGGAATCGAGTCCCACATCAGGCTCCCTGCTCGGTGGGTTGCCTGCTTCTCCCTCTCCCTCTGCCACTCCCCCTGCTTATGCACGTGCTCTCTCTCTCAAATAAATATTTAAAATTTTAAAAAATAAAAATAGTCAATTTATAATGCATCTAACTACCATATTTATAAATTATTTATGTACTTTTATGTGAGGTTTGTTTTATTAATATTTATGCTTTTCTGCTATTAGTTTTTCCTACTCTTGCATCAAAGTCTTCCCATAAATCCCTGGGAAGTCACAAATATCCCTATGGCCATGGGTAAACCTCAAAAGTGATAATTCATCAAAACGTATTTTCACCTATTTAATGAACAAATCTGTTGTGAGGTTAATTTTTCCTAATTTATATAAAATAATCCCATTAATCTATGAAAAATAATGATCATATTGATTTTACTATGACTCAAACCCTTAGACATAAATATCTCTGATTACCTGTTAATGTAAAGAAAACTCAGTAAATTTTGTATTTATATTTAAACTACTGAATACCTGTAAACAAAGTAGCATTTATTAAAATAAAATACACACTTAATTTATACTAAATTCCACTCAGATTTATACAAGTTTTTTATCCTTAATTTTTAAATACACACGATTTTTTTCAAACATTGTCAGGTATATACAAAAGTGAAATATGACATCCAAGCCAGAATGTGATTTTTAAAATAATAACCTCTATACAGCTAGTAATGTACAATATGTAAAATTCCAATAAAACAGGTACATTCTTATAGAAATGTTAGTCCTATAATACCGAGCGATATTTACAAGCAAACATGATCCAAACAGCACATGCAGATTCAGGGTAAGTAAACACTCGGACACGAACTGCCAGTCGCACCTGGTCTCCACGGCAACAGATTATTTCTTCACAGAAAGGAGACCTATAGAAGAAAGAAAATTTATTCAATTAAGAAGTGAACTTAGGTTTTATTTCTAAGTAAGTCAGTATTTAAAATAATTTTTAAAAATCCTGTCTCTGCTACCAATAGCCCTGTGATTTTGGTTAACTTATTCAAATTATAGAAAATTTAAAAAATTACACTGGACAAGATCAGAAATCCTCAACTGAGACTGCACCAAAATCAATGGGAAAATTATCCCAACTACTAGAGCTACATTTCAGACCTAATGAATCACAATCTGTGGCAAGGAAAATAATAAATCATTATAAAAGTTCACCATGTGATTCTAAAGTCATTCCTAAATAACCAGACTAACCAGACTGCTAAAATTCCTAGGTTAACAGGGGTGCCTGGGTGGCTCAGTAGGTTGCACGTCTGACTCTTGATTTCAGCTCAGGTCATGATCTCAGAGTCGTGAGAACCAGCCCCGCATCGGGCTCCATGCTCAGCACAGTCTGCTTGTCCCCACTCTGCCCCCACCTTGAGCTCTCTCTCTCTCAAATAAATATCTTTAAATTCCTAAGCCAATAACAATATTTATGAATTCATAAATTCCACCTTACCGAAGACATGTAGCAAATGCACGCCTTGCATTTCTATATACAAAATGTATTGGGAACCCTTTAAATGTGTGACCATCAGGTACAGCTCTCCTTATGGCATCTTGAAATTCTTCATTGCCTGCAGATATACTTGTTGTACGTTCAAATTCATAAGAAGCCAAAGCTGGTGATAAGAGATAGGAAAGCTGGTCTTCCCAAACAGTAGTGAGACCAAGATCCTACAGCAATCAAAAGATGAAAAGGAAAGGTGAAATACACTAATGTTTTAAAAACCAATTATAAATGTTGGCTATTTTAATGTATGCCAAGAGATTTTTAAAACCTGTCATAACTTTTTAAACTTTCTATTAATTATAAGGACACATACAAATAAAGGAACTACAGGTATCTGGTTTTACTTCTTAGAGGAAAAAAACCAATAAACTTTCAATACAATGATGTTAGGAAAGTCTCCTAAATCTATACTTCCTTAATATCCACTAGAAAAGACTACATGGAAGAGTCCTACTATGGAAAACACAGTGCCACTGAAATTTGAAATCATATTTTATTTAACTTTAAAGAGTTTAGTAAGATTGAATCTGCTTAATTTGATTGCTCCAACACAAATTCAACTATAGTAGGGGAGAAAAATCAACAAATGAATTGCATGTATAATTAAACTCAAATATTTATAAAAAACACTAACTTTTAAACTGTAAAGAGATAAAAAGGTGAAAAAGACATGCTATAGGCCTTTAGGGAGCTTAAAACATGTTTCTAATGGAATGCTGAAGGCAATTATGATTTCATTTATAACATCAAATGAACTACAGATATCTAGACACATATTTTTGAAATATTGTTACAAACATAAAAAACTTAAATATTTTGATTATCATAATAGATCTCTACCATTTCCTGATTTTGTATTCAAGGTTTTTTTTTTTTTTTTTTTATGTTACGTTAGTCACCATACAATACATCATTAGTTTTTGATGTAGTTGATCCACGATCCATTGTGTATTCAAGGTTTTAAGTGGTTCCAAGTAACCCCAAAGGTCTACGATCACCTTTTTACCCTGGCAAAAAGTAAATCTTACTTGCTGGTTTACAGGCACCATTAACTTAGTGATTAACACTAGTATCTAGCTCAGTTTTCTTCTCTATATAAATTCTTATAGCGTAATAAAATACTGGTCTTGTTTGTAAACAATACCTAAGAAAATTAAAAGGCAGTATAAGTGATGGAAGGAAAGGGGCAGTAATGAGGGGCTTTCATTCCCAGCAGTGTAGTGAACTAGGTCCTTAAACAACCTATTGCTAATAAGACCAAACTACAAATGCCAGATTAAATATTTTCCAAAATATACTTTTAAATGCTTTGATGAGTTGGCAAGTGAGTACAGCAGATTTTAGAAGCCAAAATTAATAGTAATTGGGAGCCCAGAAAACGTATTTGATAAATCAGTTTGCCTTTGATGGCCTCAAGGAACACGGAAAACTGGATTCACCAAAGGTGGGGAATCCGAAGAGGTGAATTAGAAATAAGTCTTCTGGGATTCTAGTCCTTTGATGGTTTTATGTGTTGCATATAACTTTTCCCACTCCAATTGTGCTCTTTTCACTTCTGACTGGTTTCTTTTCATGAACAAAAATTCTTAAAATATACTAATCTTTTTATGTTTTTTGTCTTTTTTTTTTTTTTTAAGATTTTATTTATCTGACAGAGACAGACACAGAGAGAGAGGGAACACAAGCAGGCGGAGTGGGAGAAGGAGAAGCAGGCTTCCCGCCGAGCAGGGAGCCCAACATGGGGCTCGATCCCAGGACCCTGGGATCATGACCTGAGCCAAAGGTAGACGCTCAACGACTGAGCCACCCAGGCGCCCCTGTTTTTTATGTCTTCTTAATGTACAAAAGAATCTAAATGGCTAATAAGAGGTTTGATCTCATTAGTAATCAGAGAAATGCAAATTAAAGCTAAAATGAGGATATAATTTTACATCCAGCTAAATTGTGATAGGAAGAAATAAACAAAACCAACCTGGAAAAAAAATGGATATGAAAAAATATAACCCAATATTTTCAATGGGAATAATATGAATAAGTACTTCACAAAAAAAGAAATCCAAATTAGTGGTATTGAGCAAAAGTCTGAACTAGTCAACATTCTTCATTTCTAGAAGAAAGTAATAAATTCTGAAAGTATTAATGAATTTGGAAATTTTTGAGTCTTAGAAGCTAACTCTCATGACTTTCAAAACGTCAAGCTTCTTTTTTTTTTTTTTTTTTTAAAGATTTTATTTTATTTATTTGACAGAGAGAGACACAGCAAGAGAGGGAACACAAGCAGTGGAGAGTGAGAGAGGGAGAAGCAGGCTTCCCGCCGAGCAGGGAGCCCGACGCGGGGCTCGATCCCAGAACCCTGGGATCATGACCCGAGCCAAAGGCCTAATGACTGAGCGACCCAGGTGCCCCAAAACTTCAAGCTTCTTAAGGGCAGGAATTAAATCTGCTTTCTTCAGGGCTAGAACAGTGACTGGCACTATCCCACCTGCCCCCCCCCAAATCGTTAAATATATAAACAAATTTAAAAAAAGCGCAAAACTACAAATCTCAGTGTTAATTACCTTCCTGTGTTCTGACACTAGCAGCCTTAGCTGCATTTCTATTTCATTACTTGTTACTGAAGCATCAATTGTGGATGCACACAGAGGGGGAAAGGGAGGAAGGGATGTTGTAGCTCCCGGAGCACAAACAGATTTGATTGCTTCTTCACTCATGGGTTTCCATTTGGATTCATCATTCAAATCAAATACACAGATTTCTACTGAGTCAGAGGGCTGACAATTTCCCAGGAACATCTGATGATTGAAAACACAACCAATTGTTCGATATGGGTACAATGGTTTGGGCTGTTCAGCAACTGGAGATTCATCAGGATTGGCAGGTTTGTGGATGTACCTAAAAAAAGTAAATCATCACTTTATATAATAAAAACTTAAAAATTAAGAAGGCAACACCTATTGAAAAAGATACTTAAGGCTATAACTATTTCCCAGGACTAGAGTTTAATACTTGTTTTTTCTTCTTATATTTCTACAATTTGATTACAGTAATTGTATGGCACATATTATGATATAAAAACCAACTTTATTCAACATGAAAATATATTCTATGTATAATCATTAAGATCAAAACCATTCATCTTAGGTAACACAATTAAAATAACTTAGCTACAACTAAATAGGTACAACTAATTAAAACGATTATCAACCAGGGGGAAATTCAGAAAACTGAGAAGATGGCCCAGGGCCGCACCTTTAGGTACTCCAACATTTACAGATAAGATGAAGGAGAAGTGAGAACAGCCAGACAGGAATAATGAAAACTGAAAAACAGAGCTATGGGAGAAGCTAAGGAAAGAGATGGTCCCAGGAAAGAGGGAGGAGCACGCAACTCTTTCAAAATCTGATGGCAGTCAAAAGAACTAAGAAAAGTATACAGTGAATTTACCAATGTGGAGTTAGTGACATCAGATTTTCAGAAGAAATCATGATTTACAACCTGAACTTACTTTTAGGCTTGAGGAAAAACATCAGAAAAAGCATATGCCAATTACACAAAATTAAAAATAAATCATTTATTTTTTACCAATATTATTTTACCAATATTTTTACCAATATTTTAGATGTACAAATTTTCTTCAAATTTAATATTTTAATTGAAGTAATGTTTTACATAGTTATCAAAAAGGCTCTAATAATGAAAATTATCAGGATGTGCCTTTGAATACCATCAATATAAACAAAGAACCTATAATCTCAAACATTTACATCTTCATTTTAATATCCTTGTAACATAGTTGACAAACCTGTGCCCTGTTAAACTCTCCCAAAAAGTGATAGTCCCATCAGTTCCACAGGTCATAACCCACGCGTGAGGTACTCCTTTTGCCTTAGTCCCAACACAGACAAAGGCTTCTAATCCATATCCAAGAAGAAGGCTGCATAGAAGGTTAGCATGATCTTCACAGTCACCCTAGAAAATGAAATGAATTAAGTATTTATTCCTTCAGTTTCCTCATTAAATATCCAATAAAAATTATAATTAAAAAGCAGTATTAATTTTTTCATTTTTTCAAGTTTTTTTTTTTTATTTTTAAGTAATCTCTAAACCCAGCATGGGACTCAAACTCACAACCCTGAGATGGGGAGTCACGTGCTTCACCGACTGAGCCAGCTAGGCACCCCTAGATTTTTTTTTTTTTAAAGATTTTATTTATTTACTTAAGAGAGAGCAAGAGAGAGAGAAAGAGAGAGGAAAGAGGGAGAGGGAGCAGACTCCCCACCCAGCAGGGAGCCCGACATGGGGCTTGATTCCAGGACCCTGAGATCATGACCTGAGCCGAAGGTGACTGAGCCACCCAGATACCCCTAATTTTTTCTTTTAATCATTAGTCTAGTGGTAATAAGCTGAAACAATTGGGGACAGGGGTAAGAATACACTAATTTTAGAAGAACCTAAATTATTTTACAAAGTCAGTGCTCACAAATCTGATAGTCATAACATATACTTTAAAAGGGGACATTCCGGGGTGCCTGGGTGGCTCAGGCATTAAGCGTCTGCCTTCAGCTCAGGTCATGATCCCAGGGTCCTGGGATCAAGCCCCGCATCAGGGTCCCTGCTCCGTGGGAAGCCTGCTTCTCCCTCTCTCACTCCCCCTGCT